GCTCAATTAGTCAATAAGAATGCCTTTTCCTCGACTTTCCGACTCCAAACGGCCCAAATCTAGCCAAAAGCAATTACATATATAAACATAACTATAAGAAACCAATCTAATTAATGTAACCAAGACTTTAACAAGAAATTAGAAAATCGCCCCAAAAAGTCGACACGGGCCCACGTCTCGGAATCGGGTAAAAGACACAAAATATGAACACCCATTCAACCACGAGTTCACTCATACCAAAATTACTCAAAATCCGATATCAAAATCTCAATCAAAACCCTAAAATTTGGTTGAAGAACTTTCCATTTTTTCCCAAATTTCTCAACCCAAAATTTTAATTAAATAATGAAATTAATGATAGATTAGTGGAATATAACCAAACACGAGTCAAGAATCATTATACAATTGTTTCCTCTAAAAAACCCTTAAATTTTTGCCTCAATCCGAGCTCTCTAGATCTTAGAGCGAAAATGAGATTAAAACCCTCGATTTTGAACTTTTAAGTCTGCCTAGGTCTTTTCTTCTTCGCGAACGCGGAATATGCCTCGCGTCCGCGAAGCACAAAATCAACTGACCAAAATTCCCTCTTACGTGATGTGTGATCGTGGAGCTTTGCCTTCCTAACCTTTCACGAACGCGTGATCCACCACGCGATCATATAGGCTAAAAGCCTGGTGACCCATCAGACCAGCTCCTCTACGCGAACGTGAGGTCCCTATCGCGAATGCGTAGACCTAAGACTTCACTGCTTCGCGAAGGCAAATATCTAGCAGCACTCAAACTCCTCTACGCGAATGCGAGAGAACCTTCGCGAACGCGTAGAAGGAAACCAGACACCAGCAAATTCTGAAGCTTCAGCTATAACACTACGTCCAAATTGATCCGTTAACCACCCGAAACTCACCCGAAGCCCCTGGGACCTCAACCAAAACTACCAATAAGTCCCAAATCATCATAAAAACTTAGTCGAGCCTTCAAATCACATCAAACAATGCTAAAACACGAATCGCACCCCAATTCAATCTTAATGAACTTTGAAACTTCAAACTTCTACAACCGATACCGAAACCTATAAAATCACGCCCGATTGACCCCAAATTTTGTACACAAGTCAAATTTGACATTATGGACCTACTCCAACTTTCGGAATTAGAATCCGACCCCAATATCAAAAAGTCCACTCCTAGTCAAACTTCCCAACAATTCAACTTTAGCTATTTCAAGTCTAATTCAACTACGGACTTCCAACTCATAATCCGAATACGCTCCTAAGCCCAAAATCACCTAACGGAGCTAACGGAACTGACGAAACACCATTTGGGAGTCATCACACAATTCCAACTAAGATCATATTCCTAGAACTTAAGCTTCCATTTTAGGGACTAAGTATCCCATTTCACTCAGAAACCAAAAGCAAATCTTCCCTACAAGTCACATACGCATAAAATAAAATAGAGGAAGCAGTAAATAGGGGTCGGGGCTAATACTCCCAAAACAACCGGCCTAGTCGTTACAAAATATATGAGTGTTAGTACGAATATGATACACAAAAAACATAGTAAGACAAAGAAAAATTGAAATTCACCACTCGGCGTGTGAATTATGTAAATTTGGGAGAAATTATGTCCTCGTTCTCATTAGCCCGTGGAGATAAGTTTAGATCTGCCCAAACTCTTCCAAACAGAACTTGTTCGGATAAAACTTCTCCAAAAACACCACTCGATGATTGAGGGTTATCCCTATTTTGCGGAACCTCAATATTGCGAACGTCTTCAGACTTGGCATACATTTCCAGCATTTTTATCGCAAGAAGTACCCGATGTTCATCCGAAGTCCTCAAAAAATCTTTCAGAGTTTCATCGTTTTCGATGTTAAACTTAGCATAACAAGCAACCCCTTGCGGAGTAAGAGAATATCAATATCTTCCGGTTACTTTAATATTAACCGAACATTTCCTCGCACTCATTCTTTTACATATCAATGACACCAATCAATCGTACTCCAATGTAAGTGGCAACTTAATAATACACTATGGAGAACAACTATAATATACTGAGTTACTCTCCACGACAACCTCACCCCTCCCCCCTCCCCAATATAATGCAATCTTAATTTTTCGCTCTTCAGGTATTATGGCAAAATGCAGAAAACGTTAAGTAAAAAAATATTTCAGAATGAGTAAAGGAAAATAAAAATAATGCGGAAGGCTGAATAATTCGGAATGGATTTTTGAAGAAATAATGAAGCTCCTTAATAAGCAAAAAAGTTGTGTGAGAGGTACAATAATTGGAGTGTATAGCGCATTAATTTTATATATATATATATATATATATATATATATATATATATATATATATATATATATATATATATATATATATATATGAAAGTAAAGCTTTGCTCTCTACCCTCCAATTATTGTGGGTCAGTCAATTAAGAAGTATAGCGCATGGATTGCATGCGCTATACCTTAACGGACAAACATACCGTTAAGGTATAGCGCATGCAATGCACTCCATGCGCTATCCTTAAAATGGTCATCAATTATTTTTTTCACTTTGTGTTTCGAGTCTAAAAAATCACACTTTGGTTCCTGACTCCCAAAATGAAAGGGTCTTTTCCTTTTCCCTGTATTGGAAAATGGAAAGGGAAAAAGAGAAAAAGAAAAAAAAAAGAATTTCGCTTTAAAAAACTAAAAAAGTATTATTGGAAACGCTCATTCTTATATTAATTAAAAATATACTGAGCCCGTTTGGCTTAACTGATGTAGAGTAGCTGATAAGTATTAAGTGCTGAAAAGCAATTTTAAGTGCTGAAGCTGATTTAAAAAATAAGCAGTTACGTGTTTGGATAAAAGTGCTGAAATTAATACTATGCGAGTTTTGTTTTAAAAAGAAGTATTTTACGGATAAAATAGTAAATATTTTGGTCAAACTTAAAGTGCTTATAAGCTGAAATTTGATAAGTTGGGGGAGATCAACTTATGACTTTTGGCTTATTTTTGACTTATAAGCACTTTTAATTTTACCAAACACGTAGATAAGCCAAAAAGTGCTTATAAGCCAGTTTAACCAGCTTATAAGCTTAGCCAAACACCCTCACTGTAATATTTTTCCTGCAGTGAGTAAAACGTGAAACAACAATTCATATTAGCTGTTACGACACTTTACCATTACCAAAATGCGTAAAATGAATAAAATGGTAAATACCGTGCTTTTGAAACAGGAATATACAATACTACGAATCTGGGGTAACTAAATTATTTTAAATTATCAAATAGAGCTATGAAAAGGTTCAGAACACATAAACAGAAGCTAGTATTCAAAACGATCAGTCGGATCATTATATAAACTTTCTTGATCTCATATAAATGGTAAGGGAACCTCCTATTTATACGAAGAAATAAACTTGTAGCTTGATCCTAACAAGATAGTCTCATAATAACTAGGCTAGTTCCTATAGTTACACTGGCCTCTAAGTGTTTAGCTTGCTCTCCAAATAATTCTATAATTAATGGACATAAATAAATAACGATATTTATAACAGTCTCCTTACATTTAGGGGTGATTTTTAAAAATAGCTAGATTTACAGCTGGTCGTTCAAAAATAATCCAATTTTAAGTAATCGAAATTTAGCCACTTTTTATGTAAAGATAAATCTGAGCGAAAACACTGTTCAAAATCCAGAAAATACTCTAGTATATTATGCTGGAGTTCCAGCATAAGTATACTTGAACTCCAGCATATTATACTAGAGTTCCAGGATAGTATGCTGGAACTTCAGCATAATATGATGGAGTTCCAGCATAAATACAATAGAACTCCAGCATAATATACTGGAGTTCCAACAAGTATAATGGTCCAGTATAATATACTGGAGTTTGGAGCACCAGTGCTCCAGTCTCCAGTATATTATACTGGAGCCAGCAAAGTATACCGGTCCAGCATAATATGCTGGAGTTCATACACAAGTGCACCGAACTCCAGTATATTATGCTGGACCGGTCTCTATTGCAGCAAAACGGTGGCTATTTTTCATTGACTTGGTAAACGCTGGCTATTTTTGATTGACCAGTCCGAAAACTGGTTATACCGTGAAATTTTGGCTACATTTAGTAAGTTTTTAATTTCAATGTACTCATTTACGCTTCACGACATCACATGCATACTTAAACCACAAGAAATTTAAAAGTTATTTTTGGTATATTATGTACATTTTTATATTAAGATCACAACATTAAAAAGTTTTATTATATTTTTAAATTTCATATTCAATTAAATTAGGATGAGGCAAAAAGATATTCTGGATTTAAATTTTGGTTATTCTTGAATTTACTCCCGCGCCGCCCGCAAATCCCAACATCTCTTTTCAGCCAAGCTTTATCTGTTTTGTACGGTCTTTCATAATTTCCAGATTTGGATTTCTCAAGGCATAATCAATCAACTGTTGCATAATCGATTGATTGCTTTTTCTGGTTGTTGATTACGGAAGTCGTAAAAGAAGGTTCATCTTCAGTTCTTGTTCCTATCACGATCAGCCGTCGTTTATCTTTCTCCATCGCTATAAGGGATCTCCACCAATCTCTTTCTCGCCAATCTCTCACCGCCGATCACCGCCGTATATCTCCACCACCCACCCTATCGGTCTCACAAGATTTTGAAAAGAAGGGAGTGAAGCAAGAAGTTTATTATTGAGATTTTCTTGCCGGAGCACACGGGTTCGGGAGGCAGCAGCATTCAGCAAATTGGGAAGCGTGTCCGGACATTCCGACTGTAATTCAGGTTCCATATTTCTTGAATTGCATTTGCGCACATCTATTTACTGTTGCCTTGGCGGCAATTTTTGTTTGCGTACACATCTATTAGTTTTGGTTGCCTTGCCGGTAAACCCTAGTAGGATTGATTGTTTTGGTAGACAGCATTTGCTTTTTTTTTTCTATCTTTTTACTAGTGTTTTAAGCTTAAGGTGTCATCTATCCCTTTTAATTCTTTGTTTGCATATGGGTAATTTCTTAAACGTGGTATATTCACTGTTCTAGTGCCTGCTCGTGTTACTGTTCTGGTAGTAGCGCCTTTGAGTTATTTTTGGATCTTTGGTTCCTAGCTTGTACTCCTTCGTTCCTATTACTTGTTCTTAGGGGTAGTGTTTACCTAATATCTTTTGCTTATAGTGGCAGTAGTGAACGATGTGAGAGTAAGTTCATGTCCTCGGGTGGGGCTGGGGTGGGGTCCAGGGGTGGGAAGGGGGTAAGAAACCCTCTAGGCTGCGAGTTGGGTCTTGGAACATTGGGACGTTGACAGGGAAGTCTATAGAGTTAGGTAAGATTCTTCAGAAGAGGAAGATCAACATAGCGTGTGTTCAGGAGACTAGAGGGAAGGGTATTTGGGCACGGGATGTAGATGGGTTTAAACTATGGTACTCAGGAAGCGCTGGGGGTAAGGATGGGGTAGGTATTTTAGTTGACAGGGACCTCAGGGAGCTCGTGATTGAGGTTAGGAGGGCAAATGATAGGTTGATGAGTATTAAGCCTGTAGTTGGTGGGTTTACTATACACGTGATTAGTGCATACGCTCCTCAGGTAGGTTTGGACCAGGAGGTCAAGAAGCAATTCTGGGAGGATTTGGACAAGATGGTACGTAGTATCCCGCAAACAGAGAAGTTGTTCATTGGCGGAGATTTCAATGGCCATATTGGGGCTAGTGCTAGGGGTTAAGATGATGTGCATGGCGGGTTCGGTTTTGGGGATAGGAATGAGGGAGGTAATTCACTATTGAATTTCGCTAGAGCTTTTGATTTGGTCATAGCTAACTCGAGTTTTTCGAAGAGGGAAGAGCACCTGGTCACTTTGCGGAATTCAATGGGCATGACTCAGATTGATTATCTTCTTTGTAGGAAATGCGATAAAGGTTTGTGCACTGAATGCAAGGTCATCCCAAGTGAGCACCTCACGACCCTACATAGGCTCCTAGTTATGGACCTGGAGATCAAGAAGAGTAGGAGGAAGAAGGCGGTGTGTAGGCAACCTAAGATCAAGTGGGGTAACTTGACCAAGGACAAGGCTCAGGAGTTAGGGGAGAAGTTGTTGGCTATCGGGGCCTGGATAAGTAGGGGGACGCGTCTAGTATGTGGTTCATGACTGCGAATTGCATTAGGGTAGCTGCTACAGAGGTCCTTAGGGGTCACGAAGGGCTCTCTTGGGGGTCATAGAGGGGACTGGTGATGGAATAGAGAGGTCCAAGGTAAAGTGGAAACTAAGAAAACTGCTTATTTGAAGCTAGTGGAGAGTATGAACGAGGAGGAAAAAAGGACTTATCGGGAGTGTTACAGAAAGGCAAAGAAAGAGGCAAAGTTAGTAGTTACGACGGCTAAAATGCGGCATTTGCTCGTTTGTACGAGGAGCTCGGGGACAAAGGCGGGGACAAGAAGTTGTACCGGTTGGCTAAGATGAGGGAGAGGAAGGCCCGTGACTTAGACCAAGTTAAGTGCATCAAGGAAGAGGATGGAAAAGTATTGATGGACGAGGCACTTATTAGGAGAAGATGGCAGACATACTTCCATAAACTGTTGAACGAGGAGGGTGATAGACGCATTGTGCTAGGTGAGTTAGAGCACTCTGAGAGTCGGCGGGATTTTGGGTACTGTAGGCGTATTACGGTAGAGGAGGTTGAAGGGGCGATGCGTAAGATGTGTAGGGGTAGAGCGACGGGGCCAGACGAAATCCCAGTGGAATTCTAGAATAGCACGGGGCGAGCAGTTTTGGAGTGGCTCACTGGGCTGTTTAATGTTATTTTTAAGACGAAGAAGATGCCCGAATAATGGAAGTGGAGTACGATGGTTTCGCTTTACAAGAACAAGGGTGATATTCAAAATTGTAATTATAGGGGTATCAAGTTTTTGAGTCACACTATGAAGATTTGGGAGAGGGTGGTGGTGGCCAGGGTGAGGGGGTGCGTGTCTATTTCTGAGAATCACTTTGGATTCATGTCGGGGCGTTCGACTATGGAAGCAATTCATCTGGTAAGGAGATTAGTGGAGCAGTACAGGGAGAGGAAAAGGGACTTGCATATGGTGTTTATTGACCGTGAGAAAGCGTACGATAAAGTCCCGAGGGAGGTCCTGTGGAGATGTTTGGAGGCTAGCGGCATTCCGGTAGCGTACATTAGGGTGATTAAGGATATGTATGACGATGCTAAGACTCTGGTGAGGACTGTGGGTGGTGACTCGAAGCATTTTCCTGTGGTGATGGGGTTGCACCAGGGGTCGGCTCTTAGCCCATTTTTATTTGCCTTAGCGATGGATGTACTGTCGCGACACATCTAAGGGGAGGTGCCTTGGTGCATGCTATTTATCGATGATATAGTGTTTATTGACGAGACGCGAAGCAGAGATAACGCGAGGTTGGAGGTTTGGAGACAGACCTTGGAGTCTAAAGGTTTCAAATTGAGTAGAAACAAAACAGAATACTTGGAGTGCAAATTCTGTGATGGACCATGAAGCAAACGTAGAGGTAAATCTTGATGCTCAAGTTATCCCCAAGAGAGCGAGTTTTAAGTATCTTGGGTCTATTATCCAAAGTAACGGGGAGATTGACGAAGATGTCGCACATCGCATCGGAGTAGGTTGGATGAAGTGGAGGCTCGCTTCCGGTGTTTTATGTGACAAGAATGTGCTGCCAAGACTTAAGGGGAAGTTTTATAGAGTGGTGGTTCGACCGACTATGCTGTGTGGGGCTGAGTGTTGGCAAGTCAAGAACTCCACGTGCAGAAGATGAAAGTAGCAGAGATGAGTATGTTGCGTTGGATGTGTGGGTGTACCAGGAGAGACAAGATCAAGAATGAAGTTATCCGAGACAGAGTGGTAGTAGTCTCCGTGGAGGACAAGATGCGGGAGTCGAGGTTGAGATGGTTCGAACTTGTTAAGAGAAAAAGCATTGATGCTCATGTTAGGAGGTGTGAGATGTTGGCCATGGCGAGTTTGAGAAGAGTTCGAGGTAGGCCTAAGAAGTACTGGGGAGAGGTGATTAGATAGGACATGGCGCTGATTCAGCTTACTGAGGACATGACCCTTGATAGGAGGGTGTGGAGGTCGAGGATTAAGGTAAAAGGTTAGTGGGTAGTTTTTAGTTGCTCACCGGTAGTCTTAGTAGCACACATGTCCCTTCTTAGATTTTTATTACGTTATGTGGTTTTGTTCACCTCAGGTATTGTATTCTCTATTGTTATTATTTGGTACTGCTTAATCTTTGTCTCTCCCTTTTTCTTTTATCTTCCCTCTTTCTTCCTTTCTTGCTTTCCTCTTTTTCTTATTACCCTTCCTGAGCCGAGGGTCTATTGGAAACATCCTCTCTACCTGTTAGGTAAGGGCAAGGTCTGCGTACAGACTACCCTCCCCAGACCCCACCTGATGGGAACATACTGGGTTTGTTGTTGTTGTTGTAATTAAATTAGGACATATAAAATGAATATTGATGGTGATGAACAACTGTACCATATGTTTTGTTGACGAGGGTTGTTTTTGCAACATATTTTGTCAATTCATAGAACTTGATAAGTTTCCAAATTATAAAAGTTGTCTTGATGAGATGCATATGGGGTGAAAAGTGTGGAAGGAAAAGTTTGGGGGTGGGGGTTATTTGTAAAATATATAGAATAAGATCTTTGCTCGATTGAGTAGGACTTGAAAATATAGTTCATCCCTTTTTAATATCAGAAAATAGATGTAACAGAGATTGTCGATCAACCATGTATAAAAATTCACTAAAGAAAACCGCCCTCCATTACCCTAGCATGTGTTTGTATGAAAAAGATAGAAAACCCCACATACTATTATCTCACTAGAAATAGATAGCATATCTCTACTTTTCTAGTTCAACAGATAACATCTATTTTTGTGAAATTACCTTTTTATAGGTTTTTGTGTTTACAGTCCCAAAAGAAAGGGTCTTTTCCTTTTTCCTGTATTAGGAAATGGATAGGAAAAAAGAATTTCACTTTTAAAATACTTATAAAGTATTATTGGAAATGCTCATTCCTATATTAATTAAAAATACACTGTAATCTTTTTCCTGCAGTGAGTAAGACGTGAAACAACAATTCATGTTAGCTGTTAGCACACTTAATTGCGGAAAATGAATAAAATGGTAAATACCGTGCTTTTGAAACAGGTATATGTGGTAACTATATGTTTGACTGCAGCTTCAGTGACGAAGTCATGACTTCTATCAAAACATTTAGAATATAAAAAAGTAAACAGACAATAAATTTTTAGGTTGTATTAAAGAGCATTTAATATCTACTATATACAAATCAAAAATAATTTTAACATTATATATAGTATATTTTTTCAACAAAATTATTCAGGTGAAACCCTACACCCCTAGCTCCGCCCATTCATCCGAAAATTTTCAGATTTTAAAAGGTCATACAAATTGTCTGATCAAAGTCCAATGGCGAGAAATCTCTATTGACCCCAAATCTCGGCGATAGGCAACAGAATAACTTGTCTCTTCTAATGTTTTTCATAAGGTCTCGAAATCAATATTAGTTACTTTTTTGCAAAACAAATATGTGATTGTGCAAAATACTCAAATTAAATTAACAAATATCTACAAGGCAAAAAAAAAAAAAAAAAAAAAAGAGTAAAGAAACTAGAAGTAGAGTTTAATACATAGAAAAGATGATGCAGTAGATTGGAATCTGCTTTTAGGAAAATGTGCAATGTTTGTATAAAGAAGCAAGCAAAATTTTATGGTGAGAAGATACTTCATGTCTTCTCACGTTACCATGTCTAACATATGTGTGACATAGTCATGGGAATTCGATCACCAAGAAATTAAACCATCTTCGCTCTACTATATATATATATATATATATATATATATATATATATATATATATATATATATATATATATATATATATATATATATATATTATCTCAGTAATGTACTACTTAATGAAATATATATATTTATATATATCGAATGTATGTGTGAATTGTGGTGGGATGAACAGAAATTCTACACCTATAATCAAATGTTACAGGTTCAAGTCTTAACTCCTAAAAATAAATAAAAATCCTTATAAGAAATGTTTTCTCTTTTAATGGACCTATGCGACGTGAATTTGAATTAATCGTGATATCAGACAACGAGTGACAAATAAAAAAAGAATATGTGTATATGTGTGTCTCTTGATGTATTATTAACTATAGAAAACATTGAAGAAATTCTTTAAAATTTTATGTACATGTTAGTTCGCACATCATCCTAATGTGGAGCTTTTGGAGGAGAATTTTCCATGTACCACCACCATGCCCCTTGTTTTTATTATTATTATACTTTTAATTATTACGTACTACCTAAATGGTGGTACTATTTTTAATTGAATATATTACCTGTCAGCTTATCCAGCTAAAGGATTCCGTGGTCCTTTTATAAAACAAAAACGCTGAGTAACAAGTGTAAAAAATTGAACTTATTGAGACTCAGGTGTGTTTGGTATAACGGAAAATATTTTTCGTGGAAAATATTTTTTTTGGAAAACAAGTAGTAATCTTATTTATTTTTTGGTGTATGGTATGCAAATTAAGAAAAATGACTTCTCAAGAATATTCATAAATAATTTCGATAAACATGAAGTCATAAACTTTCAAACCAACAACTTTCCTAATCCACAAATTTCATAAACTTTCGAACCGCTAAACTTTTGAAACCGCGGAATTTCGAAACCGTAAACTTTATAATTTCTAAACCCGTAAACTTCCAAACACATAAACCTCCGAACTCATTACTTTGGTACTTGTAAAATTTTGAACCTTTAAACCGATAAAAAAAAACTAAAACTGGAAAATATATCTAAAAAATATTTTTTTTCGGGGGGTGCGGGGAGGGGGGCAGGGGGGGCCAGAAAAATGAAAAAAGCAGAAATTTGAAATTACAAATAAAAGGTAAAAAATTTTTTTTTAGTCCGGGGGGGGGGGGGGTTGGGATGGTGCAGAAAACGAAAAAACAAGAAATTTAGTAAATTAGCAAAAAAAAAAACTAAAAGATTACTTTTTTGTCGGGAGAGGGGAGGGTTGGGGTGAAGGGTGGGGTGGATGGGGTAGTAGGGTGGGTGGTAGCAGAAAAACTGAAATTTAAAGAAAAGCCTCTTTTGGAGAAAGTGGGGTGGGTGGATTGGTGAGTGTGGGGAATGTTGAGAAGGAGTTCTGGAAAATGTTTTTCCTTCTCTTAATAAGGAAAATATTTTTCCCCATTGGAGGAAATGAGTTGATAAGAAAAATATTTTCCAAAACATTTAAGTCAACCAAACATGAAAAAATTGAAAAATATTTTCCGGAAAATGTTTTCCTTCGTACCAAACACACCCTCAATGCACATGCATCAAAGTGATAAGTATTTTATATAGAAAACAGAGGGTAGGTTCTAAGTTTGTTTCCTAAATCTCATTATTTGGTAAATTTTCATCTGATTTTCGATTAACTTTTACTTCTTGACCGTATAAGTCAAACCTTGCGTTATGTAACAAAATTATAACACCACCCATCCGGCTGTTCACCTCAAAATCTAAAACCAAAACCAAAGAGTAATACAACAGAGGTAACAAATCCTAATCCACGCAAGTACTATGATTAGATAATTGTTTGAGAAAAAAAAAAAACAAAGATGTTTTATCTCTAAGGGATGTGGTAGAAGAATATGATTCTTTAATTTTACTGTTAACCAGAAATAATGATTTAACCTAAGAACAAAAAAATTCTGGTAGAAAACGTATCACCTTTAAAAAAATTTACACTAATACGAATTCAAATTAGTCGAGTTATTAAGTTCAGAATATAACATGATTTTTTTTTTTTTTGATGTTAATGTAACTTGTGAGTGATATATGATGATGTCGTACGAGGCAAGCAAGGTGTACTATACTTGGGTCCAAGCACAATAATGAAGGTTTCTTGGTTTATTTTCACCCACGAAAGAACATCTATAATGGCTTAGCACGAGGCTCCTACCGCCCCACATTATTAACCTTCTTTAATAGACCCTAAATAGTTTCATAGTTTAAATTTAGTGTTATCGCATATTTTACGTAAAATGGCAAAAATAATAAATTACTATTATTAGAATAAGAAGCATTTATAGTGAGAATTCTTAATTAAGAAATAAAAAATACATCAATAAAACCAAAATTTTAATCGATAACATATGGAATACAATAATAACTCCTAGAAGAAAAAGAACACTTTTTTAGTTTATGCTTTTGATGCGAGCATATATTATATGACCAACTAGTCTTTGATCGAATTTACAGCCAAATCTCTCTGTTACAGCCTCGTTTGTACCAATATGTTTTTGCTTTTATAGTGAAGTACTGTTATATAGGACATATATTATAACATCACATAAAAATTGGTTTCGGAAAAGACTTGACTTTTGTAGTGAATGGCTGTTACGTAGAAGATGCTGTTAGGCTGTATACATAATTCTTCACTAAATATGAGTGTTATCTTATCTCATCGAGGATTTTTTCTTTTTAAAAAAAAAAAGGTAACTGTCACAGTAGTAGCATTTAGCTATTATAGGTGAATTAATCCTCCATCATTTTGGTAGAAAACACAGAAAGTGAAATAAAAAGGTTGAAACTAAAGGAGAAAAAACCTTCATTTTCGCTGATTTACATTTGATGAAGGGGCATATATACAAGTTACAGTTGTGGTTAAGTAAACCTCAGAGTAGTAATATTACACTCAACCACCGGCTTGCATTTTGCTTGCCGGGGTGGCCTAGAAAATAATATTTTATACTTTGGCGTAGTAAATTTACATTTACCAAACTTGTTACATGTTGTAAAACAAAATAAAAAGAGAAACTTTCAATAATAGTTAGTGTCACAAAATTTTCCATCCATCTGATTTTGTACTGCTTTGATAGCAGCAACTCTAGCAGCAGTGGCAGCTCTGTTTGCAGCCATCACTGCTTTGTTCACTTGTTCATCCACCCTCCTTAATTTAATTGCATTCTCTGCTGCCTTTCTAGCAGCCTGCAAAACCCACATTAAGCATCAGAAATTGACAATTCATAAAGATTGAGCAGTACCATGTATTAAATGAGCAAAATAAAGTAATTTTTTTACCTGAACAGCTCGAAGGACAGCATGAGTAAGTGGGGGTAAAGGAGTTTTCAAATTGCCTGAATCCCATTCCCCACATCTTGTGTCACCATTTCTAAATGTGTACATTCCGTAGCCTTGCTTGCGCCCTTCATGCCATGACCCTTCATAGCAATGTCCATTTGCAAAGTGATATACACCAAAACCATGAATCTTGTCTCCAAAATATTCCCCTGCATACCGATCCCCATTCCTACGAAAACAGCCACAAGATTCGTCAGCTCAATGATCTAATTCAAAAAAGATCCAAAATTTGAATTTTATGGGTTTCTACCACAAGTCACTTCATTTACTGTGTTCAAATCTAAATTATTAAGTTAGTACTTATTTAGCGGAAATTTTTTAACATTTATACATGATTTGACCCGAAGCTATTGAATTCCACAAGTTGATCTCAATAAAGAAGATAAGAAGACAACATCATGAAACAGGATGTGGCATTTTTAGCACAGAGGAAAAAAATTCAGCTTCTTCCATGAAGTTTCCTCTCAATCAACAGGTTGTGTTGTATGTGCCTCATAAAACACACATTTTAAAGTTGGGTGCAAGAATTGGTATGCTCTCATTAGGCAACATGACAGAAAATTACATAGCCAAAACAAGAAAAACACTGTAGCTGAGCTGTCCAAGTTGATTTATCACGTAATTTGTTATTCCCACTCAAAATACAATAACATTGGTTATTAGTTTTGAATTCATTGTCCTACACAGCTGTCTCTCCTAATCCATCACTAACAAACAACAATCAACAGTCCCAAAATAGTAAGCATGAATCAAAAAAGCATCCAAGAATTACAGCATCACAACACAAAAATTGAACTTGTTTTACCTGAAATGGTAACAACCGAGGCCATGTTTGACAGCACGTTTAAATTGACCAACGTAACAGCTACCATCAGAGCAAGACTGAGACCCAATACCATGACTTTGACCATTACACCATTCACCAGCATAAGTATCTCCTGTATAGAATTTGTAAACACCATAGCCATGTCTCAATCCTTGCCTATATTGCCCTCTATATTTACTACCCCTAGCCCAACTCTCTATCCCATAACCATCATATTTCCCATCAACCCAATCACCCTCATACCTTCCATGCACAAAATAGTTGTAAACTCCACTACCATTGCACTTCCCTTTGTGATACTCACCCTCATAGAAATCACCATTGCTGTATACCTCAACTCCTTCCCGGTTCACTTTCTCAAAGTTCCCTTCTTTGTTTGTTTCCCCAATGAACCACTTGACCGGTTTCGACTGGTTTCCTGATAACCCGAGTTTTTTCCCGTATTCTTCACTTAAGTGTTTGAAAAAAATGTAACCTTGGTGAATTGACTGTTTTTTCTTGCCAGCTAAAAAAAGAAGAACCGCTACGAAAATTAAAGCTAACAACAGATTCTCTGAAGTTGGTATATCATCCCTGTTAAAGAAAACGAAAAGGGTGTAAGTAGAAACCGCTAAAATCGCAAGAATAGGAGCTATCCTAGACGGAGCCGGTCGAACCGGTATTGAACCGGGTTTATGCGGCTTCTGCTCTTCAAGGTCCGGTTCATGGTCAACTCCAAGTTCGTTGATGGAGTTAAGGCTGTGGATTGACGAACGGATAGTTGGAGATGACCGTAGAAGTGAAGACTGAGTCCTCGTTAGCTTCCCCTGGCTTTTCTGACTGTCCATTTTTGAGTATCGTAAAATCTCAGCCGTTGAATCTTTTCATCAAACTCTTTACTATCCCCTTCGGCTTCATTTCTCAGGCCAGAGGAGGCGCAGGATAAGAAGCTAGTTAACTACGCAGATTAAAGCAGTTTTTTTAAATATTTTTTTTGAGAGAGAAGTACAACTTATATAATTTGAGAGACAGAGATGAACAAGGAGAGATGAGAGTGGACCGGTTTTTATGGGAGATTGTGGAGGCACTTGGATTTAACGTCAGGCGTTGATTTTAATATTCAACGGTTGGATCTAAAGGAATATTTATAGCCGTTGATCATAGTTTTCTTGGAGAAGTTCCCGGTTTTGACGGGGAAGATTTGGTCGTTGGGGATCTAGATTCCACCTTTTCCCGCTTTATTCACTGTGGCAGGCCGGCACGTGCCAACACCACTGTGTAACTTTCGAATTTAAATTTCTAAGGGATTAATTCATTAAAGTTAAAAACTTTTTAATTTTTTTTGTTTCTCTGAAGGAGAAAACAATGGTGTGATTTGTCAGTACGATTCTGATCTAAATGACGCTTTGACAACTTTAGGGACGTCCGTTAGTTTTATGTGAACTTATTTTTTTTTAATTTATATCAAAAGAATAATTTATTTTTATATTTAGACACAATATATTTATATGCAATAATTTATAGTTTCATAAAATATATGTGTGTTTAAGTTCTTTTATTAAATTTCGTACTTAATTAAATAAATTCATATAAATTGAAACAGATGGAGTACTATTTTTAATTTATTCACTACGACCCTTACATTAATTATCATTGTATAACTTGTCTCTAAACCAAATGATTCTTTTTCTATTTTGTTTTCTCTAGTTGTACATGTTTTTAGAAGGGAAAAAAGTTGGACAGGAGTCTTGGGTACAAATTATTTTGCTCATTCATCGGAACTTGGAGTATCTTTTTTTTTTTTAAATGTTGTTCTTCTAAAAGGAGAAAAAACAATAGTGAGATTTGTCAGAGTATGATTCTGATCTGAATGACGCTTTGACAACTTTATGGTATAAACTTTTAATTGGTCATCTGTCCTCTTTTTTTCTTTGTTTGTTTTTTTATTTCGATACGATCCGAATTAATGTTTGCGCATTGTCCACTAACTCAACTAGAAGGAAAAAAAAATTATTGGACTATTCTGCCATAGACAAAAAAAAACAAATAATAAAAAAATAACAATATCCGAGTTCAAAAAAAAAAAAAAAGCACCTACATATTTTTATTTATGATGGAAGTCAAATATGTATTATTTTATTTTCAATTCTATATGTGTTTCTTTACAAAAGTATTTCTTGGACTAGAGTCTTGTGCCAAGAATAGGCAAAGGAATTGGTCCGATGAGTATTAATTCAAGGAAGGAGTTCATTAGAATTTATTTTCCTCCTTCATTGAAACGTATATGCTTCCCCATTTAAAAATGGTGGGCACTTTTTAGAGATTTTTATATATATGTACTATATTAGAAATTTATTTACTTTTATTGTTTAATTTTAACTTAATTATAAGTTGATATATAGTTTATCAGTTATATACAAATAAATTTTAAATTAGTATCCTTGATTGTACACTTTTAATGTGGAAATTAAATTTCATAGATCTCTCTCCCCTCTCTCTCTCTCTCCGTGTTCTTTTTTCTCTATCCGACATCTTCTTCTTTGGATCTCTATAATTCTCTTCTCTTTTCTCATCTCCTTTAATTTTTCTGTTTTTGTTCAGAGAATAATATAAGAGATTTGATGTCGTCTTTTATCACTATCGAACCAGTCGTTGTCCTGGCCCCGTCAACCATTGAAAGCAATCAAAAGCTTCAAAATTTTGATTTTGAATTTGATTTTTTAAATATTATTCATTTTGATTGCATTTTGTTGCAAATGAACGGAAATAATTTTACGGAATTTATATCTCAATTTTGAGGGTGTTTGGTGAGATTATAGTTATTTTGGATGAATTTTTAGATTGAAACTCGAAGATGAAGTGTATTATAATTGTATGTAAATTGTATTTAAGTTGTATTCTATGGTAATTATATTTTTTTAATTTGGATATTGTATGAAACTTGAAAAATGTTTGTATAATGTATGAAATATGCGTTTAAGTTATAAATACTTTCTTTTACATAAAGTTATTGATATGTATCAAATTAGTATTAAGAAAGGAGGTTTTGATCAGAAATTTCAGAGAAGAAGAATACACCATATAGAAAATATATACAAATCATACACAATATACATACAAAAGACATATTTGTCTATTATTAATATAAAATTTATATTTAAGTCGTATGATGTTGTAGTTATTTTTAACTAGGTAAAAATGATGTATGAAAGTTATAGATACGTTATAAATAAGTTGTATACTATGTAATTAGCTATATAAAAATTTATTTTTAGTTTTAACGTTGTTGTAGATGTATTAAATCTGTATCAAATTTGAATATTTCGACATTCAACTTTTCAGGTTTAGGTGTTGTGTATCGTCAGTGTCTCTATTGCTTTGGTTTGGTGCTACTTTATGGTTCAAGCTATTAAAATAGTTTTATAAGATTTGGATCTCAATTAAGTTTTGAACTATTTTATGTCTCTGTTGCTCGACATTATTGTCACGACCCGGATTTCTCACCCTCGGGAGTCGTATGGCGCCTACTCGTAGAAGCTAGGCAAGCCAAACTTAATTACTTTTCGCTAAAAAAGAAATATAATTTCCCCTTTTTAACAATTTATGGCAACAATATAAAACAACGAATTTAAATAATAGCGGAAGTCCTAATTATGGAAACTGAATAAAAACACGGGATAGTCAATACAAGCCTCTACCCAAGACTGGTGTCACAATATTCACCAACTGCTAAGAAATACTAAATACAAATGTCTGAAAGAACACATAAGCTGTTTGTCTCGAATACAAGGAGGCAACAGACTAAAAAGAGAGAATAAGGGAGACGCCGGGCCCGCGGACGCCTGCAAGGCTACCTCGGGTCTCGCTGGACTGAAGGCCTGCTCCCGTACTAATGCTGCTGCTGCTGCTGCTCGAAACCTGGACCTGTGCAAATAGCACAGAGTGTAGCATCAGCACAACCGACCCCATGTGCTGGTAAGTGTCTAGCCTAACCCGGCGAAGTAGTGACGAGGCTAGACTGGACTACTACATAAACCTGTACAATTATATATACATATATACAGCGGAATCGAAAATACAAGACAAGTAAACAATATGGGAGGGGAAGCATGCTGTGGAGAGATAACAAATATTAATAGTAAATCCAGAATAACAATCTAAGGGCAACTTGGAATTTTACAGCGGACAAGACACCAATCCCCAAGATAAACACATTTGTATCAATAATTGTTGCGGCGGCAACCCGATCCCAATATATAACAACACTGTTGCGGCGTGCAACCCGATCCATAAATATCATTGTTGCGGCGTGCAACCCGAACCATAAATATCATTGTTGCAGCGTGCAACCTGATCCATATCATTTAACATTGTTGCGGCGCGCAACCCGATCCACAAATATCATCCAATGCACGGCATCACCCTTCGTGCTTTAACACTCTTCCTTACCCAATAAAAAATCACAAACAAGGGTAAGGGAAATAATAAAACAAGAATAGAAGCCCTGGCAAGGGTACACAAACCAACAAATAAAAACCCGGTAAGGGTACAACATCAATAATCACAACGTCCCGGCAAGGGAATAAATCATTAACCCTTCTCTTTCTTTCACTTTCAACTCATTTTTCACTTTATCACTTGAGCCCAAGCTCCATGGAGTTACTTATCTCATATACCTTCACAATTTTTATTTCAAGCCGAGCCAACGCTCCACGAAGTTCCAAGATTACAATTTCTTTCACAAGGTTTTTACAACATATAGGAGTCATCAATTAAACATGAAAGGCATAACAACAACCAAACTATCCGCAAATAAGGACTCACGGTCATGCTAGACACCAATGTATAGATACTCATCACCATGCCTATACATCGTACTCGATCAATTAGCAAGTAGCAAACAAGACTCAACTCCTATTCCCTCAAGTTAGGGTTAAACCAAACACTTACCTCAACTTCCACGGCCAAATCAATCCACAACAACCGCTTTCCCTCTCGAATTCGGCTCCAACTCAATCAAATCTATACAATAATGACTTCATAATATCAAAATATGCTAAACAAATCAAACCCAATGTCTAATTATAGATTTCCAAGCTTTCTTTCCAAAAATCCCAAAATCGCCCCCGGGTCCGCTTGGTCTAAACACAAGGTTCGGACCAAAATCAAATCCCCCATTCACGCACGAGCCCGAATATATAATTTGTTCTCAAATTCGATCCCAAAACGAGGTCTAAATCAAGAAAAAGTAAAAAGCCTTAACTCTACCCATTTTCCCCAATTTCTACCCTAAATTACATGTTTTAGGCTTAGGAATTCATTAGATATTGATGAAAAATGAAGAAAACGAGTGGAAATTTACTAACCCAAGAAGTGTTGGTGAAAGAGAGCTTTCAATGGATGCCTAAGGACCTTGGAGAAGAAGGAGCTCGTGTGAAACTTATGAAAATCCCGTCACTGTTCTGTTTTGGAATTAAATATAACTGGGCAAAAATTGCCCTTCGCGTTCGCGGAAAGAGGGCCGCGTTCGCGAAGGGTAAACTTGGCAAGGCATCACGTTCGCGATGGGAAGGATGCGAACGCGAAGAGGAAAGGCTGGGAGTCCAGAAATTTGGTCTACGCGAACGCGTGGGACCACACGCGATCGCGATGAAGGGAGGCTGGGAAACTACGCGAACGCGGTCCAGTGTATGCGAACGCGATGAAAAAAATACTCAAGGCTTCGCGAACGCGGAAGAGGCATCGCGAACGCGAAGAAGAATTTGTCTGCAACAGCTGAAGCTCATTTTCTGCAATTTTTCTAAGTCAAAAACCATCCCGAAACACCTCCGAAATACTCCCGCCCTCGGGGCTCCTAACCAAACACGCACACTAACTCAACAACCTCCTACGAACTTAACCGTGCGATCAAATCGCCAAAATAACATCAAAAACAATGGAATCAAACCTCAAAATCAATAGTTTTTCTTCAAAACTTCATAAACTTTCAAATTTAGAACTTATAGTCCGAAACACGTCAAACGACGTCCAATTTCAACCAAACTTCACAGGAAAATTCTTAAAATCACATATAAGACCTGTACCGAGCACTGAAACCAAAATACCGGCCCGATACCAACACGTTCTAATCAATTTTCATTTCAATTTTCCTTAATAATTTCCAGAAAACATTTTCACACCAAAATTCATTCCTCGGGCTTGGGACCTCAGAATTCGATTCCGGACATACGCCCAAGTCCCATATTTTCCTATGGACCCTCCGGGACCGTCAAATCACGGTCCGGTCCGTTTGCCCAAAATATTGACCGAAGTCGAAT